TGAATCGAAAATTTGAAATATAGATATTTTGTAACATTAGTTTACTCTCACTTCTGATTAATTGAATACATTCCTATGGAATGAAAATATTAATTTCTTAAAACAAACAAAAAAAAAAAAAAACGAACTGTCCCCATACTTTTGAACAGTAGTGGAGATCACTGGAATTGTTTATAATTGTGGAAATGATGCATAATGCATGAGCCTTACAGTTCAAATAATGATAAGACAGATCTAAATGAAAAACAGAGGAATGTGAGCTGTACTCCCTAACATCTTTTGTTTAAACATCAGCATCAAAACAATGCTGAGACAGCACAAACCTGCTGACACAACCCCGTGGCCAACACGCCTCTCATTCATTGGCTTCAGTTCTATCCAGAGCTGCCTGTCTCGGTCGTAAAGCGGACACATGCATCGCGCTGCTGCCATTGGCCTCCGAGAGCTGCATTGGAAACACGCAGGAATTCAGGGCAATATTAAAAAAACACAGTAAAATCGAATCTTGCATAATCTAGTTAGTTTTATGTTATGCATGTTTATACTCACGTCCTCTCCTCACCCCCTACAGTGACGATACACTCAGAGTAGCCGCGGGGTTTAAACGCAGCGAGGAGCGCCTCCCCATGCTGCATTGCTCCTCCTAGCGACTCCATACAACAATTCCGTATCACTTCCCTCATCAGGGAGTCTCCGAGCATCTGCTCCTGGAGGTAGCTCTGGTCCAGGCCTTGAACCCACACGGCAGACATCACCTCTTTCATATGGACCTGGAAGAAAGGTATCCTATTTAAAAAGGACTGATGTAAATATCAGCTCAAATAAATATAAATAAATAAATAAATAAAGAAATAAATCAGTAAGTAAGTTTTGGTTTGAAAGAAATGAAAGATTTTGTTTTTTTTCAAATAAATGTTCTTTCGAACATTCTATTCTTCAAAAATGTATTTTTAATTGTAAAAATACTGTACAATATTACTGTTTTTACTGTCTTTTTGATCAAATAAATGCAGCTTTGGTAAGCATAGGAGACTTTTTGTAACATTTTAAAAATCTTACTGACCCCTAACTTTTGAGCAGTAGTATTTATTATATTGAATATTTATTATTATAATTTTTGCTAATATTTTGAATTAGATTTTTATATATTCTGTTTTAACATAATTTTTTTAATTATACATATAGTTTTTTGTCATTTTTGTTTATTTGTTTTAGTTTAGCTTTAGTTATTTTAGTACTTCAAGTTAAACAAAACTTCATCAAAATATGAGACTAGCTGAAATGAAAGCTGACCTTTTTTTTTTGCATTTTATTTTACTTTCAGTCAAAGTTTATTTTATTTCAAGCAACTAAAATGTTTTGGTTTGATGGTTTGTTTTGATTAACAATAGTAACTCAGATTAAATAACTGAATTACAAAATTAATTAAATAACTGTTTATGTTTGATGTTTTTCTATGGCTGTGCATATGGAACCCTTGCGAAACATTTGTTTCACTCACTCTCCGAGCTTCAATGTCATGGGCGATCCAGCGGACCACGGCCTCCAGAACGTGCTTTTCATTCCCTACGTTGAGCTTCTCCATAGACAGGAGCTCACACAGGCGATCGGGCAGCTGCTCCAGGAACTCCTCTGTATTGGCCACGTCACGAAAATGAGTCTGCAGGTACTCGGTGGCCACATGGTAGACGTGGTGCAGGCAGTAATGCAAAGAGAAGACCCGAATACCGATGCAGTTCTCTGCAGTTATGCAGCTCTCCAGAAACTGACAGCACAGAGATTTGAGATCAGTGAGGAGCAGAAGATCAGCAGCCTGAACCACATCCTGGATGGTGTCTTCACTCAGGGTAATCTAGAAACCAGAGTGCCAAAGAGAATAGTTTTGTTTGGCCCACTCTACAAACAGTCAACTATAAAAGCATTGTAATTATGACAATGGAAACCCAATAGTTTGTGACATACATTCATAATTCATATCCAGTTTTCCCACACATTTTGACCAATTTTTTTTACTATTACTTTTCCATAATCTTTCCAACTGTTTGTTGCAGTGATGCAGCTCTCCAGGAACTGACAGCACAGGGATTTGAGATCAGTGAGGAGCAGAAGATCAGCAGCCTGAACCACATCCTGGATGGTGTCTTCACTCAGGGTAATCTAGAAACCAGAGTGCCAAAGAGAATAGTTTTGTTTGGCCCACTCTACAAACAGTCAACTATAAAAGCATTGTAATTATGACAATGGAAACCCAATAGTTTGTGACATACATTCATAATTCATATCCAGTTTTCCCACACATTTTGACCAATTTTTTTTACTATTACTTTTCCATAATCTTTCCAACTGTTTGTAATTATAAATGAATATAATGGAATCAATTGTAATGGATAATGACTTTTTAAAAATCATTTTATACAGACTGCACTCACAGAAAGAAATCTGCAATTAAATATTTTATTTTTAAATTTATTGATAAATATTTTATAATTCCATTACTTTTCTGGGCCTGAAAACCTTAATTGTAAAAGTCAAGGTTTTCCATAACTGAGGGAAACATTTATGTAGTATCTGTTAGTAATATAATTACCTCCCCACTGAAAATGTACTCCAAAATCTGCCTCATGGTCGTGACAGAGATTCCTTGCAACTCGATTTTGTATACAGATCCATCCTCCTTTGGTGGGTTGTAATTTAATTTGGTCCTGGAAACATGAATAACATGAGTTTGCATTCACTGTGGAGCTAATAAATGGACTGACCTAATATCATTGTTAGGAGAATTGTTATATAAAATGCACGGCAAAGGTTCTACAAATTTGGGATTTTCCGTTTCAGCTGATTTAAGATGTGCAAGGATCTGTTTGGTGATCAGGTTTTTAGTTTAGAGTACTGCACACCATTTCTTTCTTTCCTTTTTTTTTTTTAAATTTTGCAACAGAATCTTCAACTGACCAAAAAATGCTGGACTTGTCTCTACAAGCAGTTGAACCAATAAGGGCAAAAGTGCCTCTTTCATTGCAGTGATTCAATCAAGTGGACTTGGATTATGATGTGTGAAGACATGCCACGCTAGATATCAATGACGCCAAAATACCAGTGTTTTCTGTTTGCTGTTGCTTATTGTGAAAACTTGAATATTAAGCATGAAAGAGAATTGAGATCTGTGGAATCATTGAGTTCTCAGTGAACGTTTGTGAATAACAGTTGAGAACCCAGATAAATGAATCAGTGAATTAAATGTGAAAAGCGATTCAGGGATTTGAATGAGTATTGCAAATTGCAGCAATTTTTTCTTTGAAAAGATTTGCTTCAAATGAATAGTCCATGAATCAAATTGTTTGTAAATCTCACAATTCATAGAAGTGTTTTTGTTAATATTTTGAATTAGATTTTATTTGTATATTTTCTGTTTCCATTTTAATTTTGGTTAAAGTTTTAGTAATTTTATTGTGTTTTATCATTTGTATTAATTTTTTAAAATAATTTTTAATGTCTATATTTTTTTAATTAAGTTTTAGTTGTAGTTATTTTAGTACTTAAACTAAACAAAAAGAAGAAATGTTGTAGTTAATGTTGTATGTAGCTAAAATCGTTATGTTTTATTTTATTTTATTTCAGTTCATGTTTATTTTATTTTAAGTAATGATCTTTTTCAGTGGTTTTAGTTTTCGTTTATTAATTGAATATTAGAGCATCCATAAACTCACAGTCGTTTTGGTTTCCTTTTGTTTTTTGTTTTTTTTACAGAAGGTCACATGAAGGTGTGTAAATGACTTTTCTATTTTTTTTTTTGTGAACTATTCCTTTAATTGACCCAAGCAGCAGGCAAGGTGGGGCTGTTTGGCACACCCATATGACACATTGCTCAAGGGTCTGCTACATGTCTGAGCAAACATACCAGCTCTACTGATCTGATCTCGTTTCATGCAAATGTATCCCATTTTCAAGCTTATTCTCATACCTGATATATGGACTAGCAGCAGCCAGAATGTTTTTCTGAACAGGAATCTGTTCACCATCCAAAACCAGCACTGCATCTTGAAAACAATCATCTTGTCTGAAAGACTGAAGGACCCTTAGAAGCTTTTGGGAGTGTTGAGGGTCTGACACTACTGATCCAGCATCGGCTCCAGCTCTTTTAGGGTCTGACATGCTGTTAGAACAGACAGAGAGATGATCAGACAACACAACAACAACAACAACATGGTTCATGCTTGTCTTACATAAACAGAACCACAGGTTTAACTCATTCAAACTCACTCCAGTGTACTTGAAATACACTTGTTCTTGATGCTCTCTGTAACTTCAGCTTCTCATAATCAGTTGTCTGTGTCAGAGCAGCGCACAATACAGAAAAACAATTTGGCAGGTTAGTGACGCTGCGTGAGGTCACCAGGAAGCGCCTTTTATTTTTCATAATAAAAGTTCATTTTTCCCTCATAATAAAACATGCAGGTGTACGTAGAAATGTTCAAGAAATGGTCATAGAAAATATGGGAATAAAATTATTGCATAAAATATTGTTTAATATTACAGTGAATTATTCGTTTTATAATTTATTTATTTAGGCAATTTTAAGAAACATTTAAGACTATAATCCATATTCATAACATTCAAATAATTTTTAAATATGGATTACTGATAAACATGTTATCATGCAAACAACATATATTTATAATTCATATCTGAAATGCCACATACAGAAATGTGTTTTTAATACATTTTACTACATATGTTTTAATTATATTTAAAAAATTTACATTTTATCCTGTCTTCTCGTGCATATGTCTTATGTGGACAACTCACCTTTTTGGGGGACTTGAATATATTAGTGTCATTGTAAAGCTGCAATATTTGAGAAATCACAGACTTAGAACGACCAACTTCCTTTGCAGTGACTGAAAGGGTCATGATATTGAACCATTTTGCATTCAACCTGTGATAAAACATTCATGGATTTTTTCATTAACTGTTCCCTCCTGGTGGAATGACCTGCCCAAGAACAGGAATCTGTTCACCATCCAAAACCAGCACTGCATCTTGAAAACAATCATCTTGTCTGAAAGACTGAAGGACCCTTAGAAGCTTTTGGGAGTGTTGAGGGTCTGACACTACTGATCCAGCATCGGCTCCAGCTCTTTTAGGGTCTGACATGCTGTTAGAACAGACAGAGAGATGATCAGACAACACAACAACAACAACAACATGGTTCATGCTTGTCTTACATAAACAGAACCACAGGTTTAACTCATTCAAACTCACTCCAGTGTACTTGAAATACACTTGTTCTTGATGCTCTCTGTAACTTCAGCTTCTCATAATCAGTTGTCTGTGTCAGAGCAGCGCACAATACAGAAAAACAATTTGGCAGGTTAGTGACGCTGCGTGAGGTCACCAGGAAGCGCCTTTTATTTTTCATAATAAAAGTTCATTTTTCCCTCATAATAAAACATGCAGGTGTACGTAGAAATGTTCAAGAAATGGTCATAGAAAATATGGGAATAAAATTATTGCATAAAATATTGTTTAATATTACAGTGAATTATTCGTTTTATAATTTATTTATTTAGGCAATTTTAAGAAACATTTAAGACTATAATCCATATTCATAACATTCAAATAATTTTTAAATGCTGTTTTTAAATTGTTTCATGATATTGAACCATTTTGCATTCAACCTGTGATAAAACATTCATGGATTTTTTCATTAACTGTTCCCTCCTGGTGGAATGACCTGCCCAACTCAATCCAAGCAGCAGAGTCCTTAATAATTTTCAAGAAACGGCTGAAAATACATCTCTTTCATCTTTATTTGACCCTCTAACTCTAGCCCTCTCTATTCTATTTCTATTCTAACTACTTGTTTTATTTAAAAAGAAAAGAGCCTTTAACACTAGAATTCTCTATTCTTTCTCTATTTTTTCGAATGATTTTCTTTTTATCTATTATAAATAATGACCTTCTAACACAAGCATTATCTGTTCTTTTTCTGTTCTATTGACTTGTTTTATTTTTATTTCAAAATGAGCCTCTAACACTAGCATTCCCTATTCTCTTTCTATTCTTTCTACTGGATTTCTTTTTATTTATTCTAAAAACAAAACAAGCAAAGAAAAAAAAACCTTGCTACACGTTAGGCCTTCACACACAATCTATCTGAAAAGAAGTGAACGTCTTACTGCTTAAAAAAAAACAAAACATTAAAATATTTATGAACATTCAATTTTTTTCTTGTGCTGCTATATTTGATTTGGAACTCGAGTGTGAAAATGTCTAAAACTTGACACAAATTCGGATGCAATTTCACTGCCTGAAAACCATGTCTTTAACAACTTTAACATTGTGTTTCATCTTGGAATTTCAAATAAATGATCGTAGCACAAGTGAAAGTCAACAAGACTCTTCTTTTTCAGTGTATAAAAATGAACCTAAAACACATGCATAAAGCTATTATACTGCCCGCCAATGCTAGTGCCAGCTACACAAAATATGCATCACATAATAGGACTTTGTCAGTTATGCATGATGCTCAGATTTGTTGGTCTCTGAGTTGTTGTTTTTATAAAAGTGCATTAAGTTACCAAAAATGTGAAGCACATGGCTAATACATTTTAATTGTACTGGTTGAAGGGGATGTCATTTGAACATTAATATTGTATTTTAAATGCAATTTTCTTAGCATCATTTATAAATGATGATATCCCATAAAGGGTTAAGTTTTGTATACTGTGCTTCAGAAAACAATTAATTTATGAAATATGCTTAAAAAACTGCCCTTCTACTCCTGTTAGGAATAGTTCAAATAGGACTAAGCAGTGACCACTGAAATCTAGGAAATTATAGGTTGTTCTCTACTTTTGATCTCCAATGTATTTAATATTTCTCGTGCTCCAAACATGATCCAGCACTGCGTGTGCACACATATTTCATCATGTCTTCTTCAAATGAAATATGTGCAAATAAGGACACTGATACAGCAGTACGTCTGATCATGAAAGTGATGACATGATAGATTATTGTGATGCTCAGCAAACAATAAAACAGACCAAAAATTCAAAGAAGGGTGGACAACAATGTAACTATGCCTTTATTGTTTCTGTGTTAAACTGATGTGTGTTATTTGTTCGGAGACTGTAATGCTGGTAAACATAATGTAAATATTAATAGACCTTTTAAATGTTCTTCTTTATTTTTCATATATAGCTCTCCAAAGTTATAATGCTGATTTGTTTATATTTCAAGGAATCATTTATCAAAACGTATTTTATTTGTTCATGATAGTTGTTAGTAGTCTCTAATGATAAGATTTCTTGAGTTTGTTATCATTGGGTTATATTTTTAAAACATATCAAGTTGGCCCCTAACCTATTCCCTATTCCTACTCATATTTTAATATTCATTACTCTAAAATGAGTTTGTTGTAGCTCTGTGTTTTATTGGTTGTTTTCTCCCCTTTTCCCACCCACTACACTAACTTACACTTAAAAATGCAGAAAAATCATAACCCCTGTGTGTTTTTATATTCTGTTCTGTTCTATTTTGTTTTATTCCATTCTATATCTTATGCAGAAAAGAATAGTGTCTTGTGAATGTAGCAGAGAAAATGTGAAGTTAATATAGTGAGATTAATAAGCTATTATTTGACAAGCAATATAGAGCATCTCTATATATCCTTACTACAGCATTAACATACTACATGATGATAAAAAGTACTGCAGATTTATATGTATACTCATGGGATTTCCCTTTAGGTAAATGTCACATGTTGATTAATTTCAGTTTTTATTTCAGAGACCAAGATTCATTTATTTGAAACAGCCACTCTTGCACAGGTGTTATGCATTTTAATGAAACATTTATAGGACAGTAAATCCCTCTGTTGCTTAGTCATTAAATGTGTCATCAATCACAGGTTCCTGTCAGGACATTATGGGAGAAGAGGTTTGTCAGAAGGAAGTCTACAGTGGACAAATCTGTCCTTTATGCATGAAAAGAAAGAGAATTAAGCTGACGCATTGACGGGCCAGAGAAAAAACTGAGGACAGGTTTTGATTTATGAGGACTGGTGACCTCAAAGATGTGAATGAGTGAGACAAGGAAGAGGATTGAATTAATCTTTCATTAAGAGAGAGCTATAAGGTGATTTAACACCCTTTTGTGACACTGATCAGCTGTGCCAATTATCGTAAAGAGGGCAGAGCTATTCCCTTTAATTCTGGTGATTCATGCTTATTTCACTGGAATATAAAGAGGAGATTTTAATTAGAGTCTGTAGGATATACCCTTTACCAAGTTTAAACCTTTTATAGTGTATTAAATTGGCCCAGACCTTCTGTGACTTGGCATGTCCTTTGGCACGTAAATTAAAGAGCCTCCCACCATTAGATGGCGCTCACAGAACATACATTTCAGATTTACTGTTATTTCAGCAGTGGTTAACAAACCTCAGTCCATCGGACTTATTATTTGCAGCATTTTATCATCTTTAAAAAGCTTGTGTGTCTGGTTATCCATCTTTTAAAGCAGGGGTGTCCAAACTCAGTCCTGGAGGGCCACTGTCCTGCAGAGTTTAGCTCCAACCAGCCTTAACACACCTGCCTGGAAGTTTCTAGAATCTAGATAATTAATTGAGGTTGGAGCTAAACTGCGCAAGACAGTGGCCCCCCGGGAACAGGATTGGACACCCCTGTTTTAAAGCATGACCAATTCTACATTTAGAGCAGGCATTCAAATCATGCCCTGGAGGGCATACCCAGGGTGTGAACTACGGGGGAGCTAGGGGGAGCTCGGCTCCCCTTAATAAGACATGGGCTCCCCTGAAAATGTGATTTGTGAAATTTTGGGGGGTCTCAAAAAATATTGACAATGTGTTATTTTGACGTGCAATTTCATTTTTGCGTAATGTGATCATCGTGAATTATGTGTAAAATTGCAAAAATATAATTCATTCATGCATGACGGCAATTTAAACCTAATTCACTTCAATAAAGATAACTATACATGCTATTCTTGTCATGAGCATCAAGGTGTGGGGGCACTGCGGTGCAAATTCCACTCATGTTTAGTACATGTTAACTCAAAGATTCGTAGAAAAAATATAAACATTGGACTCTGTGGTCTATTCTGTGTTAAGGTAAGGCATGTTATTCGCAATTATGTGTTGTGGCTGGGTTGTTATAGGTCTGCGATGTCTTAGGCCTAATTGAACGGAGGAATTATGGTATTCTTCTGTAGCCTGACGACGAGTAACTTTAACCGTTGTTCATGTGAACTCAAAGACAGCCGGATACTTTGTTTATAGACTATTTGTGGGTGGCTGTTTGTTGTTTCACCTATCAATTCGTGTCGATAAAGTATAATAGGGTAAATCCTGTATAGTGATTTATCCTATATAGTGCTTGCATAAAGCAAGTAGTGCATACACTTGTAGCTGTTATGTATCTTTGTAAGTCATTGTAAGCCCTCTTTTGAGGCAAGCGCACGAACCCCTCCCCATTATAAAAAAAAAAACAAGTGGGCTCCCCCAAAGTCCACGGTATAGTTCGAACACTGGGCATACCCTAACCCTAACGTACAGGATTGTGGGATATCAAAGGCAGCGAAGGATACAGCTATGCTGCCCAGGGTTGCCAGGTTTTCACAAGAAAACCCGGAGGCAGCATTTTAGAGTTTTCGGATGCAGCCATTGATTAGCATGCTCAGGTGTGTTTGATTAGGGTTAGAGCTAAACGCTGCAGGAAAGTGGATCTCGTGGATTTGAGGATCCCTGATTTAGAGTCTCTCTCACAAGTATCTTGTCTGTCCCTGATTAGTTTGTCTCTTTTAAGCTTTAACCATATATTCATCAATATCATTCTCTTTTATTTACTCTTTAATGTAATGGATATCTATCTTGATAGCTCAAAGACAGGAACATGCAGGCCGTTGAAACCAGAGGAAAAATGCATAGCAAATGCTCATGATGTGTAAGAGCTGTTGGCTCACAGGAACCCAGACTGAGTCTGGCCTGAGTCATGTCTTATTCCCACTCTTTCCCTCAACTTTCTTGTTTCTTTCAACAGTAATATGAATAAAAGGTTTAAAAGGCCATAAAAAGGCAGTAAAGCAACAGTTTTCCTCTTGCCTTTTTATGTTCTATAGTCAGCAAACATTGTGAAGGGTGTGAAGTCTCTACAGCCCATGTTAATGGGCACACAGTGTACTTTCCATCCCTGCATGCCTGTGGCTCTCAAAACCAGTTCTGTGTACTAGGATCTCTTCCACTCATTGGCCTCTTAATTCCGGTCTTTCCAGGTAAAAGATTTATAGTACAAGAAACTCCACATTAAATAATATGGAATGGTTTGATTCTATTTATTTTATGTTGTTTTGATTTTTTCCCCCCAGGTTAAATAGGGCAATGTCTAACACAGGGGTCT